AATTGACGCATGTATGGATTGTGATTAAGAGTTGCATGAGCCCCTAATAAAATGATTTTTTTTAACTGCCCTTTTTTAAAGGGGTGGGAGTTTAGTGGGAAACGTGTGGGCTTTCTAAATCAGACCCATGTTTGGATTCTCTTGAGTCGGAAACAACTCTGGCAGTGAGTTTGGTTGGGGTTATTCACCTTTAGCAAGTCATTTAGCCTCTCTGCTGCTGTTTTCTCAGCCATTCAAGATGGAAGTCAGTGCATTTTTCCTCAGGTTGTGTGGATTGCCTCTCACCTTGTAAATGCCTGGCCTCTAATGAGGGGGAAAAAACAACTCCATTGCCCTCTAGTTGATTGACTCCACGTGGCTCAATAGGACTGAGTAGAACTACTCCATGGGCCCTCTGAGCCTATAAGAAGCAGACTGCCACATTTCTCTGCTGCTTTGTGGCTAGGGGATTCAAACCACGAACCTCAGCTAGCAGCCCAACACTTGACCCAATCAGGGTACTTTCCTTGTTCAGAAGACACTAGGTGAATGGTAGCTTTTTGACAATAAGCCTTATCTCCCTTACTCAGTTCCGCCTCAGTCTTCATGATAATTGGTATGTGATGTCCTGATGGTGAGCCCAAAGGAAGTGAACTGGGGCCTTCTAAGAAGCACACTCTCCTTTAACTCAAAGTTTTCTTCCTCTCCCTCCTGCCCAGGTTTTCCAGTCCACACCTCCCACACACACACAGGCACACACCCAACATACACACTGCGGGCTTCATGGCTGTTTCCTGTCTGGTGTACCCTTCCATCTTCACAGCCACCAGTCAACTCCACCTCCTCCACCAGGCTCCTGATGTCTGCAGGTTCCAGACACTCCGTACCCCACCGCTTCCCTCCCTCCCGCTTCAACTGTCTTCATGGCAGGGGTAACCATCTAATCGAAACAAGCTTCATTTTACTCCATTCTGTCTTAAAATTTCTGGCTGGAATCCATTAAGTCACATGGTTTCACAACCCCACTCGATGATGCCCCAGATTTTTAAAACTCAACCAGATCATGAGGTCCTTGAGCTCTTTTTGTCTCAGCCTCCACTGCCGGGTTCACAGTCGTCAGGCACTCAATGATTTGTCACACTGAACTAAATAGTTACTCAGTCACTGAACTAACTCAGGAGTCCGAGGGAGAAACACAATGGAAAGAGGACAGGTGTAAGAATAGCCAGGATAAAATGATAGATGGGATGTCACCCCTGGCCTCTCTCTGGGAGACAAAGGGGACAGTGGGACCTTGGGGAACCAGAGAACACAGGCCGTCTAAAGGAGACAGCTGCTATTCAATTCCAGACAATGGCTGCTAGCCTGAATACCCTGTGCAGCCAGATCTTTTGAATTTAGGACAAGTGGCAAGTTAGCTTTGTGCACTTCCAATTTTCAAATATTGGGCACTCGTATCCAAACCTGAATTTGGCAGTCTATGCCAAGCAGGTATATCCTCCAATGTGGACCTTGGCCTGCCAATTAGCAGCTTCTAAACTAAGAAAATTACCTTCCCAGGGTCTCCAACCAAACTGACTACATCTGAGAGACTATGAGTCCTAATTGTGTTTTTTTTTTAAATTGTAGCTCTTCATACTAATGTGACATTAAGAAGTGAAGGAAGGTGAAAAATTCTTGGCCTTCAAGTGGAATTCTCCTGCCTTTAAAAAACAAAGGGGTGGGGGTGGGGGGTGGGCTTCAATTATTGCCATCTTTCCCAGTTACTGGATTCCTTTATCAACTCTGTCCCCAAGTGCCCTGTCACCATCGCCAAAGCTATAATGCTACCTCCTCTGAACACTTTTTAGCATCGTAGCCAGTCAGGTTTGTTCTCTGACCTGCCTGCTAGAATTCACTCATGTTCCTCTGGGTGAATAGCAAATCCGCTTGTCCTCAGCATCCAGTTTCTGCTGCAGCCCAGCTGGAGCAATGGAGCCAAGGAATGAAACTGGAAAAATCCCTTTCCTGGATAACTTCAAAGACACAATACGCCATTTCTCCATTTCTCACCCTGACCTGTGTTGATGAGTGACTCATCCCTGAGGGTTAATTAAGGCTAATTATATAACCAGCCTGACCTGTCACAGAACAAAAACAGGCATAACTTGAGTTCCCTCCGCACATGCTTATTTCTGAAGCTCCCCATTTTGAAAGCACCATAGGTGCCTTCCAACATATGATTATTCAAAAAGGGAGGCGACTGTGGAATGCTAGAGTAGGGATTCAGCTCACAATTAAGGCCTGCCAGGATGACATCCCATGTGGAGGAGGGAAAACCAGCCTGCCTCCACACCACAGGGGAAGTGGAACCATCAGCAGTTAAGGAGGGTGATTACCTTTCAGGTCTTCGCTTTGATCTTTTCCTATTTCGACAGGAGCCTTTTATCCAGAGTTCCACTGCATCTCCACCTGGTTTCCATTTTAATGCTACTGGGGATTGGTTGGGTTTCCAGCTCTACAGGGGTGATTCCAATAAAAGCCTTCCTCCCCAGGGTTCTGCCCTTCATCTGCCTGTACGGACTCCATCCCTCCTTCCTGAGATACCACCGAACTCCTGTGGGCTCACCCTCACCCTTCTATCTTCTAAGGAATGTAGGGCGGACTGTGACCAGAATGGTTACCTTCAAGTTAAGAATAGCAATCGGTTGAGGCCGACTTTCCATTCAGGATCCTAATTAATCCTTATGATCTCCAATTTATTGATGACGAAACTGAGGTTTGATGTTTTAAAGAGATTTGTTGTCATTCAATCGAGTGCCATTCGATCAAGATCACACTGGATGACCAAATTGGAATTCAAATCCAACCCATTCCGTGGCTGCCTCTAATCCATGACTACAGGCACCGGCATCCCTCGCTGTGCCCGACAGCGCAGACGCACGCATGCCCAAGTGCCGGGTCCTAGGCCCTCTCGGCCCCGCTCCTTAGTCCTAGCGGTTAGACTGAAAACCCAATCAGACGGCAGCTCGCCTCGCTCCCCAGCCAATGGGAAGCCTGTTGCTAACTCGGCGACTGTATTTTTAGCTCAGTTCTCTGGAACCATGGGGGTCTGTGAGGGTCTTACAGTCCCGGTGGAACCCGCGAGGGGGAGAAGGAGGAGAGGAGAGGAGGAAAGAAATGGGCAGGGGAGGCGATGAGAGGTGGGGTGGAGCAGAGCTAAGCGGAGGGGCGTGTGTGTGACGCGCGGCCCTCGCTGACGCACGAGGCAAATAGTCCCCTGAGGTGCCTCCAGGGCTGAGCTGGCCGGAGTGGGGGGGTGGGGCTCCCGGACGCCCTGTCCCCTTGGAGTTTGCCCTCCAGCCGGGCGGCGTTTCCCTTCTGCCGTCAAAGAAAGCGCCCTTCAGCCCCGCGCCCTTTGCTCTCTGCCCCAGCCAGAAGCCACGATCAAGGGGAGAAGCAAGTTAGTTGTTTCTGAAACTTGGGGATCTCGCCACCTCACGTGGGTCCGGCGGCCGCGGTGGGGTCGCTTGTGGCTCGACTGAGACTAAAGGTCGGAGGGGGCTGCACCTGCCAGCTCCTGGGCCCGGCGTCTCTGCCAGCTGGCGGACCCATCCTCCTGTGACCTCACCAGGGCACAGCCCTACCGGACCGCCACCTCGGCGGCTCGCACGCTCACCGAGAAGCAGGTGGCCTGCGCGCGGGGACCTCGTGCCCCCCGCCGAGTGCGGCCAGCCTCGCTCCGCCGCCCGGGGAGCCCCCGGGGTGCGCGGCCTAGCGCCCGGTGCACGCCGAAGCGCCACTTGGAGCGACCCGAAGCGATCCCTACGGGGGGACGAGCCGCTCGCCAACGTTCCGCAGGGGTCACCAGCCCCGGTGTCCGCCGGCGGGGCCCGGCGGGCGGGGGACGCGCTCGCGCCTGCGCGGAGCTGCCGCTGCGCGTCCCCGCCGCTGGGCCGCTGAGCGCCGAAGCAGAAATGGAGACTAGTGTAGCTCAGATCTCGTCTCCCCGACTGCCCCGCGCCGCCGCGCCGCCTTCCGCAAACCCCGCCGGGCGGGTCCCGGAAGACTCGGGCAAACTCGAATTTAAGTCCGCAGCGTTTCCAGCGCACGCGTTGTCCCAATTGTCCGCCCACGACAAGGCCGCCATGGGGACCGTGCGAGCGCAGCGGCGACGGCTGGACGGTCCATATGTGGAGGGACACGTCGGGTAGCCTTGGGGAACGGACGGGCTGCAGGGGCGACCGGTCCCTGGGCGCCCAGTGGGCACTTGCTGCCCTCCACGACCCTCGCCACACATCCTAGCTGAGCGGCCACCGTGTCTGGTCCATGCTAACCAATCTAGGTCCCTGCCTGCCTCACGGAGTTCATTTCTAGCCAGAAAGGGACATGTCACAATGAGCACCCTAATTTCAGAGCGTCCTATGGAATGTGAGGAAAATAACACCGGTACAGTGAAGGGGCCTGGGTGACACCTAGCAGTTTGTCAAGGGCTGCTAACTGGAAGGTTATGAGTTCGAACCCACCCTGTGGCTCCGCAGAAGAAAGGCCTGGCGGATTACTTTCAAATAGATTCCTGCCAAGAAAACCCGTGGGGCAGTTCAACTCCCATCACACAGGGACGCCAGGAGTCCGGCAATGGGAGGGTAACTGATGGGGGTGAAGGCGTAAGGTTTGGGGCAGCCCTGTGGGGCCGTGAGACATTTCAGTAGAGAACTGAATGGTGAGAAAGCGAGGGCCACCAGACGTTCAGGGGCAGCGAGAAGGACGGGTTCCACTCAGCAGCTGCGCGCGCGGGGGTTAAGCCGCCAGTGGGTTGGAAGTAGTTCCGGCGGCGGCCCCGCCCCTGCAGGGCGGAGGGACGCATCACGCAGGGGTGGGGAAGCCGGATCCGTGCGCAGGGTTGCTAAGGGTGAAACTTTTCATTGACTTTGCTCACTTCGGGCCCGGGCGGCGGAAGGTGCGGGTTGTCGCCGGAGAGAAGCAAGCGGCTCCGAAGACGCGGGGCCAGAAGGACAGGACCGCCCGCCGGTCACAGCCCGGCCCGTCTTCTGCCCCGCGACACGAGCCCCCTCCGGTCCCACCCCGCCATCCCCGCGCTGTCGCCGCCGTCCGGCCCGCCCTTGTCCTCCCGCCGCCGAGCCCGAGCTCCAAAAAGCTGAAAGAATTATTCTTGAGAGTCATAACCCAGCCCACCACCTCGTCCAAGCCCCGACCCTGAACGAAGATAAGGACACACAGGCCCCTGCCCGGCAAGGAAAGAAGAACGACCCCTGCCCCGCGCCTAGGAACACCCAGGAAGAAGGAGCTGCCCCGCGACCAGCTGCCCGCCCCGCCGCCTCCGAGGCCCGAGTGAGTGAGCGAGTCAGGGCCGGGCGGGCAGGGGACCTCAGTCCGGGCCACCCTGAGACCCAAGCAGCTCCCGCACCCTCCACATTGCTGTCTCCCCCCCTCCTACCTGGCCGGCATTTTCTGTGACCTGCACCTTCCTTTTTGGAACCCCGTTTCCCTGCGCGCCACCACTTGCCCTTCCTTGCGCCTCTGATCCTAAGGTACCCCAGAGCCTCGTCCTCTCCCAGGTGCAAATCCAAGTGTGCCCCCCCACCACCTCGCGTGAGGTGCATATCCTTCCTTCCCGCCCCCAGTATCCCGGAGACTAGTTAGGAGCGAGGGTTCCCCTAGAGACCCCCACCATTAAATAAATCCGAGGAGGGAGGGGAGCCAGGCCTTGTTTTCCTGTTCCGCCTTGCGTGTGAAGGGGAAGGGGGTGGTAATTATGAAGAAGGTTTCTTTCTGGCCCCATGTAGCCCTAGGAATGGCGGTCGCTGTCCCGTCCCTCTCCCCACCCCCCACCTTAGGGCCCTGGGACGGTTGTGGTGGCCAGGATTCACCCTTTTGGCTTGAGGTCTTTATCCACCTCGCGGTGGGGGAGATGGGGTGGGAAACGCAGTATCCCTCGGGCAAGACCCTGGAGTGGGCTCTGGTTGGTGCTGTGCTTGTCTGGGAGAGCCCTCCTCTAGCCGCCTCCCTGCGGGGATGGACTATGCCCTTGACCTGGCAGGGAATGGGGGTAGCTGGGGGGAGCGAGAGGAGGCTGGGGCAAGTCTGCTCCCACCGCCAGCAGGAACCAAATCCACACACTGCAGCTTTCAACTTGGGGACCCCCAGAGGGGCAGCTCAGTAGCCAACCTTTCTCCTTGCCCAGCCCACTCCAGCCTGGGAGTGGGTCCCTATGCTCTGGTTTCCCAGCAGAAAAACCCTGCCAGTGCATGCCTGGGCGCCAGTCCCATCCCCCTCTGTAGCCTATGGAGGGGGAGCCACTGTGTGTAGGAGGAAGGATTAGGGAGGTTTAGCACCCCGTGGGGAGCTTTGCAAGGAGCTGGTAAGTCTGGTCCTGGAGTAGGCCTCGCAGTGGGAGGGGACTCACAAGCCTAGAATTTTCAGCAATCAGGTGTCAGATGGATGGTGTTTTTCTTCCTGGCAGAAGCAAACCCTGACCGGGAACCTTCCCCTCTTCCCTCGCCGGGACTTGGATTAGAAGGCCCAGGGCCTGCTGGCCCCGCGCCTGCCCACAGCTTAACTGGGAGTTTCTTTGGCCGAGAGAGGACGGGAAAAGTGGTTTAAGTTCTGCCTGCCCTGGCGGCGGGGGTGCTGGAGCCCAGCCCGCTGGGCATTAGTAAAAAGGCTTACTCCCCTTTGAATCTCGGTCCCCACAGCAACCAGGGCCAGGCCGGGCCTTGGAATGCAGAATCAGCGGCAGGGGCTTCTGGAGTGGGAGGGGACCTGACCTATCTGGCCTTACCACCTCACCCACCAAAAACTCATTAAAAACAGATCCCTAATTCAGCAGTCAGGGGAAGCGGTGACAGCTGGGTAGGGAAGGGAAAGTTAACCATTTGTAGAAGCCAAGGCTTGGCTATGGTATGGTGAGACAATATGGGGAGTAGGCCTTAGGGGTAGAATTTATATAAAATGATGGGGGGGCGCGTTTGCCACTACGCGCATGTGCATCGGAAACTTTTCTTGCTTATTCCCACCCTTGGCCAGCTCCCCTTACCGAGCACGCGTAGTTCAGCCAGCCGAGCCTTCGCAAAGCTCCCTGGGAAGTGTAGTGTGCCGAGAAAGTAGGTCACTTGCGCCCACTGCAGCCTGAGAAGTCTGAGGACTACCTATCCCAGAGTGCAGCGCGTGCCTTCCCCACCTACCTCGGGTTCTTTTCAAGTCTTCCTGGCTTCTCTGGAGCCCGACATGCCCTAGTAAGAGCCCTCCTTAGTCGGGAGGGGCCTTGTAGTCACACCCCAGCCTTGCCCAGTCTATGTTTTGGGGAGATGATGTGAGACTGGGCGCGGTGGTGGAGTCAGTCAGTACCAGCCCGCAAAGCGTGTCCCCACACCCTCCCGTCTGGACCACCACCTCTGAGACCTAGGGGGTGTGGTCCCTGCCCGCTCCGCACCCCCACCCCCAATCTGAGTCCCGCTCATGCACCCCCCACCCCGCAATACTCCTGCCTACCCGCTTGTTAAAATTGATCCACTCCTTACGACCTCCAAACTTTTCAGCCCTCCATTGAACCAGCAGGGGCAGTTGAGGACGGTGGAGACGCTGAGGGCATGGAGGCATGCTTTCATCGGTGCTGTCCGGAGCGCAGTGCATTGTCTGGCCACCATTCCCCCTCCTCCTGACACGACTAGGTCTTTTGTCAGAAGTTCGCAGGGCCTGTTGTGCCCAGTCTTGTAGGGTCGTTGTGAATTCGCATCGACTCAATGGCAGTTTGGTTTTGGTTGACCTAGACTTCCTCCCAGCTTCTGGCCTGCCCGCCGCCTCCCATCTTTGCCAATCCGGCATTTATTCATTAAAAGACAAGTCTGTGCAAAGGATCTGAGTCCTGCTTTGGCTTTGTGCTCTCGTTTATACTGTTGCAAGAAGGAAGCAAGTGAGGGATACTGAGACTCTTCGTGCGATTGAACAGAAATAACTCTCACATTTGCAACTTTTTAATACATTGACAAAAGGCAGATTTTGAGATTTATAAACATACACATCCCCCCCTTTTTTTTTCTTTTGTCTCAGTGATTACCTTTCTCGTCTTGTGACTCAGGGTTGGAAAAGACCTGTGGGGCTCCCTGGCCTGCTTAAAAGGAATCTACTTGTTCCTTTTATTGAAGAGTAGTTCTTTCTAAGCATTCTAGTCTTGCCACATGTCCATGAATATCTTATATCCAGCTCTCAGATACAGCCATTGCTTCAAAAAGCACGAAGAAACCCAGTGGAGTGGCCACTCCTCTCTCGCTAAAGACAGGATAGGACCGGTGTGTTTATCCTCTGTTCCATAAGCTTCTTGAAGTCAGAATTAGAGCTTGAGCTGATAGAGCCGAAAAGCTCATTCTGGTTGACTGGCATTTTTGTAAGGTCCCACCCCATAGCCATCTGGCCTGGCCTGTTCGCCAATTAAAGAGGCCAAGGTGGCGTTATAGACTTCCTTATTTGCGCGGCAGTGTCACTGGGGAGGTAGAAATTGGTGTGCAGCTTGAGTTGCTGATGCCGCAGAAAATGGTTAGCTAGGCAGGGCTGGTGACAGTGGCTCTATTGTATTTGGGAGTGGGAAGCTTATTTCCCGATGGCTTTGGCCTGCATATAAAAGGCTCTCATTTTATGGACTGAACTGTTGGGGGTGGGGGTGTTAACTTAGAAGGTAATCATGTGGCAGAGTTGGAGGGGGCCTCCAACCATGCAGAAGCCCTGTGGTCTGGGTGCCGTCCGGAGCGGCACAAATCAAGAGGCTCTGTGGTGGTGCGGCAGAGCTGTCATGGGTTGGGTCAGAGTAGGTTTTACTTTCCATGAGCATTTTTGGAATCAGTTTTTAACTGTTGCCTTATTCTTGGGCACTAGTGCCAACCTTCTTGACAACTCTTTAGTCTCAGCTCTGTCAGATCCCTCTGATGGCCAGCTGTGGCCTCTGCTCTTGAGAGGAGGCTTATGGTCTTGGTGACTGGCTTTCCTCTGTGCTGAGTCAAGCCCTCACAAGCAGAGAGCCATCTGTTCTTCCTAGCATTCTGCTTTGACCTATGTCAGGGGCCACTTGGATATTGATAACATCACTTGAGAGTCCTGCTGATGAAGCGTGTCATTACCTCGCCCCTACTAGGATTGTGAGGATGGCACAGAAGTGTTGTGCATGGAACCGCTATGAGTCGCAAAGGACTGGATGGCAGCTAACAACAACACTGTGATAGCTGGAACTGCTTGTCCTTGGTGCGGTGTGTGATGTGCCCTGGTATGCAGTACTTTTCGAGTCTCACCCAGCCTGGGCTGGGCGTTCCCTGATCTGTGGTGAGGCCAGACCTTGAAGAAACTTGGAGATGAAGTCTGGAGGCTGGGAGAAGGGGGTTTCCTGAGGCCATTGTACACCGTGGAGGCCTTGGGAGAGGAGCCTGGCGGGCCCACGTGACCCTGTCTCCTCACAGCTGGCATGAGGGTTAGACTAGGTCTAGCCTCCTCATTTGCTTTAGCTTCACTTCCTCCTGATCCATATCTGATCTGTTCATCCCATGAATCCTTTTGTTGGGGAAGCTATGGCCTCACACCTGAGACTCACAAGACATGTTTTGGGCCAATATTCTGGAAACTCGAGCTCCACAACCTAGAATACTCCATAGTGGACGTGGTGGAAATCTGACTGAAAGTCCAGCCCCAGCCCTTCATAGGAGGGATGCCCTCAGCAGATCGGGGGATCGGCCTCACCCGGTGCTGAGCTTAGCAACACAGCGGCACCCAGACACTCAGCCAGGAATGGGTTCTGGGCCTGCCTCCCCTTGGTGACCTGTTTCAGGTCTGTTCCCCACCCCAGTCTGGAACCCCCAGCATAAGCCCAGGGCCAGGCCACCCTTTGGGAGAGAGACTAGGCTCTCCACTGCTGGGAACCTCACAGATCACCTTCCTGAGACAGGAGACTGGCCCAGCCCTGGGCAGTAATCCGTTCTGACCTCCGTGGGATTTGGCCGTAAGCAGCTCCCAAAATAACAGGCTGAGTTCAGTTTCTCTCAGTCTGCCTTCTCCCCAGGGATCTCCAAACACTGAACCATGCTGAGCCAGTGCTGAGGACAGGTGGTCAGACAGGCCAAGGGAGATGATGTAACCATGGGACCCCCCGCTGGAAGCTACAGGGGTGGGTTGGAGAAAATGTCTTCCCTCTGCCAACCTCCTCCCCTAAACTCTACTCAGAAATAAGAGCACCCCAGACCGCCCCAGTGCTGCCACGCACGCTGGGTTGACCCCCACAGCCTGCTGCTGCCTTTCCTTTCCTCCACTCCTCCGGGACCCCATGTGGGTTCTGGCAGATCTGAACTTCTTCCTGGGGGTCATGCTCTTGTCTCCGTGGAGGGCCTCTGGATGGAAATGCCAGCTTGGGCAGAAGGGTACCCACCCCACAGAGCCCACAAGGGAACTGGGCTTCCTATTCGGACCCGTGTCCTTCTCCATGGAAGAAGGGGAAGGAAAGACAACTTCATTCTTGGCCTGTGACAGGCTGGGGGCACATCTCCTCCTGCCCTTCCCCAGCTAAATAAAGTAGGGAGTTGGTGGGCAGTCGGGGGGGGAGGGAGGCGTCATTACATAAAGTTCTGAATTCTCAGAATGATGAGGACCACAGCCCCTGTTTCCTTTGACTTAGCTAAGCACAGAGCGCATTTTAGCAAGCGCTGATTTGATACAGTTCACCTCCTTGAGCCCACTTCCTCCGCAGGAGGCCCGTGTTCCAGATGAAGGAACAGCGGCTTAAAAGGGCACGCCCACGGTCACGCTCGTCCTTGGTGAAGCCGAACTGAGGGGGGTGGGATCATCGGAAGTGGGTGCTAATCTCAGTCCTTTGTAGCTGCTCACGGTGCCCTTCTCCGCCTTTCTCATTTCCCAGAGCCCTCTGAAGCCCAAGGCTGCCCACCGTCCATCTCCTACCAGTGCCCTACGCTGATTCCCTGCCCCAGACAAGACCATGCAGCTGGAGATCAAAGTGGCCCTGAACTTCATCATCTCTTATTTGTACAACAAGCTGCCCCGGCGACGGGCAGACCTGTTTGGGGAAGAGCTGGAGCGACTCTTGAAGAAGAAATATGAAGGCCACTGGTACCCTGAGAAGCCACTGAAGGGCTCTGGCTTCCGCTGCGTCCACATCGGAGAGACAGTGGACCCTGTGGTGGAGCTGGCCGCCAAGCGGAGCGGCCTGGCCGTGGAGGATGTGCGGGCCAATGTGCCTGAGGAGCTGAGCGTCTGGATTGACCCTTTTGAGGTGTCCTACCAGATTGGGGAGAAGGGGGCGGTGAAAGTGCTGTATCTGGATGACAGCGACGGCTGCGGGCCCCCCGAGCTGGACAAGGAGATCAAGAGCAGCTTCAACCCTGACGCCCAGGTCTTCGTGCCCATCGGCAGCCAGGACAGCTCATTGTCCAACTCCCCATCGCCGTCCTTTGGCCAGTCGCCCAGCCCCACCTTCATCCCCCGCTCGGCCCAGCCCATCACCTTCACCACTGCCTCCTTTGCTGCCACCAAGTTTGGCTCCACCAAGATGAAGAAGGGGGGTGGGGCCACGAGCAGTGGGGGTGTGGCCAGCAATGGGGGGAGCGGCCAGCAGCCACCTCAGCAGCCCCCAACCCAGCAGCCTCGCTTGGCCCGCTCACCCACCAACAACCCACTGAAGCACAAGAGCCTGTCTCTGTCTATGCATTCTCTGAACTTCATCTCGGCCAACCCAGCCTCACAATCCCAGCTCTCGCCCAATGCCAAGGAGTTTGTGTTCAGCGGCAGCGGCTCACCCAGCCTCCTCTTTGATGCGGCCGAGGGTCAGGGGAGCACCTTCGATGTGGCCCAGGTATTTGGGGGTGGCACCAACAGCCTCTTCCTGGAGAAGACGCCCTTCGTGGAAGGCCTGAGCTACAACCTGAACACCATGCAGTACCCAGGCCAGCCCTTCCAGCCCGTCGTGCTGGCCAACTGAACCCCCACACCCCCGCGGGGCCGGGAGCCCACGACCACGGAAAGGCCAAAAAAAGAGGAAAAGAAAAACACACAAGAGTTCCAGTCTTCTCACTTTCGCTTCTAGAAAGAGGTCCAGGTCCAGCCAGGCTCGGAGTGGGCAGGGTTCCCAAAGCTCCTCGTCCCGTGGAACACCCCCCCCCACCTCCACCCCTGCTTTCCTGCCTGCCTGGGATCCATTCAGTTAGTTTGGGTTTTCTACTTCTTTCTTTCTTTCTTCCTGAATTTCACATGTAGTTTTCTACATAACACCTTTGACTAGTGGCTTCCTGTGCTAAGAAAGGCCCAGATGTGAACCGCTGCACCTGGCGCCCTCTCCCTCCTCTACCAGGCGCCCACCGGGAAGGAGGAGCTGCGGCGGGGCCTACCCCTCCCCAGAACAGACAGAGGCTGGCCCTGACGGACAACTGCCTCTGCCACCCTGCCACCTTCTCACTCCAAGCCATCCAACCTCAGCAGGCCTTCTCGGGCCTTGCCACCCGGGAAGGTCCGATCCCAGCCCCCACTTTCTCTCAGGTCTGGGCCCCAGGGAATGCCGCCCGGCCACTGGCCACCCTTCCGCTAAGAGCTGATGTCTGTGACTGCCAAGTGTCACACTTTGTCTCACCGAATTCCTGTCATCTCTGTGCTGTGGCCTCATCTCACCACCCCGCCTCGCCCCCCACTGTCACTAGCGGACCTGGAGAGATCCAGACCCAGCCATCCCTGCGGCCTCTCCGGAGCAGCCCTTTCCCTGGGCCTCAGAGCAGGTGGGAGGTGGGGAGTGGGTCCTGTGTATGTGTATGTGTGTGTGTGTGCATGCGTGCGTGGTTTGCTGCCCTGCTTTTAAAAATTCCAAGCCATGTGGAACTCCCACTCTGGATGTGGTCCTGGGTTGTAACAAGTGCTTCCCTGGCACTCTGCAGGGCCCCCTAAGAGGCCAGCCTGGCTGAGCCCCAGTGCTCCCGGAAGCTCGCTCTTCAGGAGGAGCTAGTTTCCAGACTGCTGAGGGATCTGCACTTGTCTTTGACCAAAAGCAAAAACAGCTCTGAAGGGCTGAGGGGATACCTAATGTCTAAATGTCCCCAGACTTTCACCTTCCTGTTCTCTGTCCTTAACCCAGGATGGGAACTGCTCACCTGAGCACCTGTGGGGGTGGGGGTGGGGGGGTAGTTAGTGCCTGAGCCTTGAAGTGAGACTCTGGGGTCTTCTGCTTGTGGTTCTGTTAGTCCATTCGTGCCCTTGCCTGATCAGGAACTTCTTGGGACTCTGGCGATGCGTCCCATCTCACTGCCCTAACCCAACCCACTGGGCCTGGGTGCTGGGAAGAGTGGGCTCCTGGTGGGGTTGGCTGGCAGCCCCTTGGCCATCCTGCCCGGTGAGCTTGACTTAGGGCAGAAGACAGCTGGCCCTGCCACCCTTGTGGGCCAGCTTCCACGCTACATGGCAGTGGGCCACATGGCCTCAGAGCCCCCTCCCCAGGAAGTACCAAAGCTCCTGGCCCACCACCCTGACCCTTCCCAACGACCCCAGATGGGCACCTGCTGGAGCAGTAGGCCAGCCCAAGTTCTGTCTGCCATTTTCCCAGCTTCTGCAATGGGCATCTGCTCTACCTCTCACTGCAGGGCAGTGCCCTGGTTCCTTGGCCCAACACCAGCTGTCCTCTTGGCTTCTCAGGGGCCAACCTGCCTGGACCCACCCCCACCCCCCGTTCTCCGCTCCTGCACGGTAACTGGCCCAGGTGCACAGCTGCACTCTGGGACAGGCTGGATGCTGCCTTATCCCCATCCCCATGTCTGCAAGTTGCTCCCCAAGGACAGGGAGAGGGGAGCCCAGCCCCTTCAGTGTCTTGAATATGAAAAAATGTGGGTTCGGGGCTGACCTCTTGGGTCTGGGTCAGTCTGTCTCCTCAAATATAGGCATTTTTGCTTCAATTTCATTTTTTAAGAAAAAAACGAAAACCTGCACTAATTTATCTGGTTTCATAAGAAGACTCTTTACCCCCCTTTTTCTTTTTTTTTCTTCTTTTTTTTACATTTTTGGTGTCTTTATATGGAATAATTTGCTACATTTGTAAAATGTAAGAGGTATATAATATGTATATTTCTAACATAAAAATATACGTAATTTTTTTCTTTTCAAGATTCTTTCTTAAAAAGAGGAGAGAATGATATTTTTTCAGGAAAAACAAACTTTTAAAAAAAGAATAAAACCTTTCTCCTCCCCTTCCCCTTCCCCTCTCTACCAACCCTCCTTCCCAGGAACAAACCCAACGGTGGGCTGTCTTGTGAGGAATGTAACCCTGTCGTCCCAGTTGGCCTGTCTTTCCCAATGCAGCGAGCTGAGAGTCTGCGCTCTCTAGGGGAGGGGGGGGTGGGAGGCGTTGTAAGCACGGGGAGGAGCTGGAGGGGGCAAGGTGATGAGCTGTGTCTTTGTGAAGGAGGAATGCAGCTGAGCATTTTGTATTCAGAATGTTGTGCAATATTTTGAAATGGGACATTGGTGTGTGTAGAGGTTTAGTTTAAAAAAAAAAACAACAAAAAGATCGATCAAATCTGTACAGTTTATATTGTTCCAGATTTTTTTAAGTTTGTATTAAAAGCATGATACATAATAGCCTTCTGTGTGGTCCCGGCTGCTTTTGTTCCATGAGGGCGACTGGTCATCCTCAGGGTGGACACAAACTGTCCCTTGTCCCACGGGACATTTTCACATACCCTCTGTCGCAGTCCTTGTCCACCTTGGAATCTGGTCCCAGGAGCAGGTTTTAGAAGATGGAGTGCTTCCTTAGGGGTGGGGTGGCCAGAGGCCCCTGAGCCTGCTCCAGCTGGCACACACCCCACACCATAAGACCCTTACAGGAGGCCAGGTGACGAGCCCAACGGAGCCAGGGTCTGCCCCCAAACCTCTTGCTTAATTCTCAGCCCTTTTCTTGGGCTGGGCAATGGCACAGAGCTGCTTTAAAGGGGAACCAACTAGTTGGCACCCAGGACTGGAGGACTCCGCCCGCTGTAAGGACCCAGCCACTCCTAGTCCTGCCCCTAGGCCCCATTCCCAAGTGCCAGCTCCTGTTACTTGACACCTGAGCCCAGTAGGGGCCCTGCCTCCAGAGAAGGAAGCCAGGGGTGAGCTGGGTCCTTCACTCTCACAACAGCCTGGCGATGAAAGGTATGCCCAGCCCTCCGTGGCACAGGCTGGAACTGCTTGCTCATGGCAACACGGGAGTGACCTGGTGAAATGGAAACGCTGCCAGGGGCCCCTGCCCTGCAGCAGAAGAAGCAAGAAGCTTCTGGTAGACTCAAGAGTACACACTGCCCTCCAGTCAATCCTGGCTATCCCTACGCCTGCCCCACCCCCCACCCCGCCCCGATAAATAACACTGCCAGGGAGTAGATTCCAATTCAATAGTGACTCTATAGGACAGAGTAGAACTGCCCCTGTGGGTTTCCAAGGGTGTAACTCTTGGAATAGGAGGCCTTGTGGTCTTGAACTGCTGACCTTTCAGGTAGCAGTCCAGCCTGGAATGACTATACCACACAGTTTCCGAGACTCAGTCTCGACCGGAGCAGACAGCCTTATCTCCCATGGAGTGGCTGCTGGATTTCAACCACCGACCCTGCTGTTAGCAGCACAGGGTACTGCCAGGGCTGCTCAGCAAGGCTCACTCACTTGGCAAACAGCCCCCACCCCTGAGCACGCACTCCCTGGCCTAGGGAACATGATGGGAAACCAGCTCCAGGCCAGGTAGACACAGGGGTCCCGAGAGACCAGAGCGCAAAGAAGGCTTCCTGGAGGAGGAGGTAGGAAAATACAAGGTCACCTGAAAAGGGAGAAGCCAGGCCACGGCCCTTCCTCAGGGGACATTCTTCAGGCAGGCAACTTGTCTCAAAAGAATTTACTCAGTTCCTTTGAGAGCCACGGGTTCCAGCCCTAGCCCTGTTGCTCCCACCCTGGTGCCTGAATTCCCTGCCCTCCAAAATGGGATCATCGGAGTTGTGCCTGCTTGTGGAAATGAAATGACATCCCAGGTGCTAAGTGCTGAGCCCGGCGGCTGGCCAGGAGCAAACAAGTCACTGGCCAGGATCCTTACAGCCCATCCTTGACTGCCCCCAGCCAGTCCCAGCCAGTCTATTTCCTTCCTCAGCAGCCAGGTGACACCCAGCCTGCCAGCACCAGGCCAGGCCAGGCCAAGCCAAGGAGGTGGCAAGGGAAACTGCTTTGGGGTAGAGACAGAGCTGACCCCCCAGCCTGCCCTCTACCAAGGTAGGAAGTGGCAATAGCCCAACCAGGCAGTGCTAAATGGAGCTGATGGCCACTCCTCCCCTCGAGGGCTGGGCCTGGGCCTGGGCCCTCCCTGTATGGTTGAAACCTTCTGGGAGTTCCCCCCCTAAAGAGGCAGACCAGGTGGTGGGGTGAGTCACAGGCGGGAGAGTCCTCCTCAGTCACTGCCACCTGAGTCAGTGCCTGTCAGCTGAAGTCCCTGTCAAGCCCATGAGTTGGGCTGGAGGGCCACACGGTCTTGCTCCTGCCTGCTTTCCCTGGGCCTGGCCAGTTTGGCCATCTCCTGCCTGGGAAGGAAGTTCCTCTGCCCTGCAGCACAATGGACCTGCTGCCCCACTGCCCTTTACACTTGGAGAGTTTTACTCTTGTCAGTGGGAGAGGTGGGTTCCTGCCCTCCCAGAGGCCGAGTTACTGTGTAACCCTGAATACTGCTCTCGCTCTGTCCCATTGGACAATGAGGGCCAGGGCCCTGTCCAGCTGGACCATCTGAGTTAAGCCTTGTGCCCTCCCCTCCCCCTGCCCCACTAGCTCCTTGAAAGGACCCCTCCCCAGAAAGATGAGAGAGAAGTGGGCTGACCAGCTGGGAGTTGCTCCAAAACACACGGGCCACATCAGACTACTCCTGGGCTGAGGCCGGGCCAGGGGAGTGTGAGCCAGAAACAGGACCTGGCTAGACATCCGGGCTCATCTAGCCTGGCCCTGATTCACCTTCACCGCCTCCACCCAACATGGGGTGCCCCAAGTGCCCGGCGCTTTAGACAGGAGGAAATAG